TTCACTATTATGTTGTATAAAATAACCTCTAATAAAAGCTTTACTTGCATCCCAAACCATTATTAAATCAGTGTCTGTACCTAAATTGTTTTCGAAAAAATATTTTCTTTTTACAGTCCTACACTATTACTTCTTTCTGTAACATTTCATTTAATCTCAATCTAAAAGAACTAGATTTTCTTTTATAAACCAAACTCACAGAATCATGATCCAAAAAAGTCTTTATAATATCCCTACTTTTTAAAATTCAAATCATGTCCATCTTTGACAAACATCTGTCTTTTAGAAATGTAGGTATACTCTCTTAAATTGCCATTTTTCTGTCTCCATGTATCAATCAGTCCTAAATTATCCATCAAATCAAAGAAAACTTTTGGTAATTTGCCTTGAGTCATTTTAATATTTTTTCACAAGTTCTGTCCAGTTGTGGGGAGATCTTTCCATTCCAATCCACCATCAAACATCAATTTTCATAAGAACAACCTATTAATCTAAGTCATTTATAAAACAATACTTTGTCTTCATTTGGGGCATAAATTCCCAACATCAAAGTCTTAGTCCCATGCAGATTAATTTCCACCCCAACAAATCAATCAAACACAAGTCAACACAAGTTCTGGTTTTAGTTGGGGGTTATATACAAAACAACTCCATTTCTTTTTTTCCTTTTGTTCCTGCTAAAATAAATTCTTCATCCAAATTTTTATAAATTAAATAATTTATGTCCTTTTTTCTGATATGTGTCTCTTGTAGGCAAATTATATCTTGTTTTAATTATTTTAAAAAAAAAAGAATTCTTTTTTTTCTTTTCAGGAGTATTTGCTCCATTTACATTTCATGTTAAGCATTTGTAATCCATAATCAAGCCAAAAATTTGTAATCCATAATCAAGCCAAAAATTTAGAAAAATCAATACCTGTAGCGCCTAATTCAGTATCATCTCTTTCAGTTTCCTGTTCCACCTGTTGAGTTTTTGTGTACAGGTAGTCTTCAACAATTGGGACTGGCATTTCCGCTGCTAAGAGATGCCTGTGATAAATCCTTGCAGTCCTGGTTGCCATCATTAACTGAATCCCATGGTCATCAGGTGAGGCAGCTTCCTGCTGGCTTCCCACAAAGTCAGTAGGGAAGCCTGCAGAAGCTGCAAGTCCCAGGCCAGCAGACAGATAAGTGGCTGCTGCCAGGTGGGAGAGGGAGTGACGGGGTGCTGGGGGTTTGCAAGAGGTGCCGTATGGGTCAAGGAGGATACGCAGGGTTGCGTGGGAGGTGTCACAGAAGTTGGGGAGGGTGCACAGGGGTACGGGCGGTGCTTGAGAGGCACTGCCCAGGTCAGAGAGGGTGCGCAGGGATGCACAAGTGTTTGGCGCGAGCACAGAGGGCTGGGAAGGGTGCATGGGTGGGGGAGACTTACCCCAGTAACTTGTGACCTTCCCTACTGGCTTCACCATTGATTTTCTGGGGAAGCCGGCAGGGAAGCTGTAAATGGCAATCACGTGATTGCAGGGTGCTTGACAAGTAGTCATAAGTATGAACAGGTTGCCTAGTGCCCAGATCGCGATCATGTGAGCATGAGGGTGCTGGGACTGCCGTTAACTCTGAGGACCACTTGTAGCCACCATTCATTCAGCACCGTCGTAACTTCAGTCACTGAACAAACTGTTGTAAGTTCAAGGACTACCCGTAGTCTCCTCTTACACCTCTATTTGAATCTCCTCCAATTCTTTGAATTTTTCTAGAAATTCTCTCGCTTTCTGGACAGAAGTCAATCAAAACCTCTGCTGTTTAAAAGTAAAAATCACACCTTCCAATTGGTCCCATCAAAATGGGATCTTTTTCTGTTTTAATCTCTCAGTCAACAAAAAATACTCCTTTCTCTTATGCAAAATTCTGATAGGAATTTCTTTAAGGACAATTATATCTGTATTGTCAATCTTCAATCTTGTATTAAAATGCTGCTACAAAACTTGATCCCTTGTCTTCTTCCTGACTAAGTGCATCAAAACATCCCTTGGAATATTTCTTGTTCTCACAAATCTTGAATTTATTCTATATACTTTATCGTTTTCTGCCTCTATATCTTCCTCTTCCCAATCCAAAAAAATTGCCAAGATTTTCATAATCTTTTCTCTAATATCCTCACCAGAATCCTCTGGGATTGCTCTAAGTCTTAAACAAAATTCTTTCTCTCTCAATTCCAATAGAGCTAGATCTCTTTCCAACTCTGTCTGTAACTTCTGTCTTACTCTCTAAAATTTCCACTTTGTCATTAATTTGTTTTACCTCTCCAGCACTTTCCATCTTCTTGACTTCATCTTCTCTTTCATCTTTACAAATCTTTCATACATTCTTTTTTTTAAAGCTGTCAATTATCAAGTGACTCTAATTTATTGCCCATTTTGCTCAAATAATTTCTGAAGCAAATCTGGTGTAATTCCTCTCTCTGCAGGATTACTCTAGAGATCCTCTCTTCCCCTTCATTCTTGCCGCTTTTCTGATGGCTGTCATTATATTATAATCCAAAAATGAAAGTGTCTCAAACAAGGGAAAAATAAAAGGCAAGTTTCCCCTTATTTTTTCTTTTCCTGTGCCTTTAATACTTTCATCCCTAATGGCACTCCATAATTACAGTCAACATCACAGTCAACATCTTCATAATTACAATCAGCATCACAATCTGGTTCATATTACATTTATCTTTTGTTTTGTAAAATCCACCAATTGTATGCACTCTTTAATAACAAAAAACATTCCCATGAAGGTCCTGTTTGTTTGTCTAATTTAATTCATTTATTCAAAAGTACTTCCACCAAAAATAATCTTTCAAAGTAACTATCTCCTTTATACATTTTAACTCTTGACATCAACTCCTTGTTAAGCTTTTTCCCAAAAGTCTTTCAGTTTTAAAACCTTTTTTGTCCTTTATTCCTTTGTAATCCAGAAAAAATAACAACTCACCAAGTGGAATCTTATCCTGCCACTCAGAAAATCTCTCTTTAGCTGTAAATTAATTACATCCAAAAGTGATTAAGAAATGAGGTTCAGCAGAACTTTGTGTCCATAAAGGCTACATTGAAGCTCGGGAGTCGAGCTTGATGGAAATCCCTCAACTCCCAGCCACTCAACTCATGAGCCAACTGCAGAAACCCCAGTTCCTGCAGTTTACTCACAAGAAGCAGCTGTCCGGAGTGCAAGTGGACAGTCTCATGATCTGGCTGCCAATCTCACCACAATGACATCTCTACTCCTTCAGAGATGTCTAATTCACCATGAATCCTCACCAGAAGCCCTAATCAGGTTTTTGTTGTTTGTTTTTTAGATGAAAGTTTGCTGCACTTACATAATTTTGCCACAGTAGATTTTTTTTCCTTGCTTGGACATTTTCAGTTTAGTTGAGATAAATAAACATGAAAAGTATTTAATTAGGATTATATCACTGTGTTGCAGTTCCTATACTGTAAGTACTTCTAAAGGCATATTCTAATCCATGGAATGCAGGTACCACGTAATCTTTAAAAACTGAAATCAGATTAGTTTTGTTGAATTTCTTGATTCCTCAATGCAGATTAGACATAGCGCTCACTGGGTCCTATCTGAAGCCTTAAGATATTCTCCTATTAGTATTATTTTCTTCTCCCATATCATTTTTTTTTATTTCTCATGTTAAATTGTTTCTAAAGTAAATAAGGATATCTTCACTTGTATCTTCAGTTCAAATGATGGCCTGAATCTTCTGACAAAGAAATATTTCACCACTATATTTGTGCCAAGTCAGTACCAGTAATGGTCAATAATAGATAATACATAGGGATTTAGATGTACATTATATCAGTCAAAACAGACTGGTATCTTTGAGTATTTACTAACAATTAGTAGTTATTATTTTCAATATACAACCACCATATTTAATAGTAGATCTTAATCCTCCTTTTCAACCCTCCATTCAGGCTATATATATCCTATATATAAGATCGAATTTTAAAAAAGAAGATAGGAAAATAGCCTTTTTGTTTCTTAAAATGTCCTTTTTTGTCTTTACATTTCATTTAAGGAAATAGTGTAAAAACAAAAGCTTTGTCTTCTCACCAAAACATGTTTTGTTTTCCAAATGCCCAAATATCGTAAGTGCCTACTAGAGCTGAGTTTAAAGTTCTGATGAACTTTTCAGCAGAGCCATATCTAATGGAATGCTAAAAACTGGGAAGATATGTTTGACTTATTATAGTTTTCTGAAGGCTTTCAGTGGTGAAGACCTGTGTGTGTAAATGTCAGAAGGAAATGGTTTTTAAAAACACTTTTTCTGACTAGAGGAAAATGAGTATGGCACTGTGACCTCCTTCTGAGACTATGCCATACAATGCATTCACAGAAGAATGTAGCATCAGAACATCATATTCTTTAAAAATGTAATAATATGGATAACAGGAAGCACACTGCCCAGGAAAGAAATTTGAGTGATACAGTTACTTTTTCATGACAATAAAAGTGCTTTAAGCTTCCTGTTTTCATCTTTTATACACATAAAACTTTCCTTAAAAGTTTTGAGAGCTGTGGCAACCCATCAACAAAAATGAATCAAATATCTCTCACAACTGCATTCTGAAAATTAGGTTGCAATAACCTTTCAGATAACCTCCAATTTAGGGTAGCTTTCAGCTATTCAGAAAATGTAGAATTGTATTACTTTCTCTGAGGAGGTGCCATTGATATGGTTATACTGTTATACTGTTATACATGTTATACTGACATTTAAAGAGCCAAGAGACAAAATTTCTTAACTTTTTTTTTACTTTTCTTGAAACATAAGACAAATCTGAATAAAATATAGTGCTTGAAATCATGACAGAACAAAAATATTCTCAAGGATTTTAGTCTTCATCTCAGAATCTTACCATAGCTTCTAAAAGCTAGAATCAGGTCAGGTAAAGTGCAGTCTTTAGGTCTTTCCTTCTGCTGTATTCTGTCCCTTCTCTGGGTAAACAATCACTTCCTTATGACTAAACAAAAAGATATTTATATAAGAGAAAAACCTTTATAGAATTTTATTACAAAATATCTTCTTAAACATTGATTTTTTTTCATCAATGATTTTCTAAATTAGATTTATAGTTAATTTCTTTCATCCCTATTTGTTCCAACACAATCATCTTCAAACATTACTGTTTGTTTTCTTCTAGAGGAAGGCCATTATTATAGAGTGTTTCATCTTATCTAAGGCACTGTTCTTTCTTTTGATATCAGTGAAGTTCTGATCAATACTGACCTTATGAGACCATTATCAAGAGAACTAAGAGAAAAGACAAATATGCTAGTACTGCTATCCAATAATTCTATCTGGGGCTTACCTCTGAGTGATTACCTATAGGATTATGCATAATAAAATTAGAGCAAGGAAGAACCAAACCTTTATATATGATTGCTCTCTGGATAACTGAATCTTGCATTAATAAACTCAGATATGAATAAGTCTTTGATATGCATATGCAATTCCCTCACTAAGTTCTTCATGCAAGCCAACTCACAACCCAGAAAGTCTTTAACTATCTCTAGCTTGACATTTCATCCAAAATGGGAAACTATGGGCAACATCCAGCATTTATTTTTAGTAGATTTTTTTCCTGTCTACCTCCCTCTTCTTTAGCTCACTGAATTCCTCCAACCATATGAAGCAAATTGTGGCAAGTGTGCAAAGTTGCCAATAGTTAGGAAGAATAATTTCCATTGCGAGCATCATTTCCAAGTATAATTCAATTTTACTTTTACCCTTTCAGAATAAGCACAGATATCAAACCAATCTGAAACTATGTTTTAAGATTTTGCTTATTCTGAAGTTGGGAGTTAGCTGAGGCATAATGAAAGTTATAGACAATTGCAAACATGCTAATTTCTTTGCAGAAATGTGTGAAGGGAGGATGAAATGATGACGTTTGTGAGGGAAAAGGCTTTTTCATGTTAGTTTACTAAACCAAAATTATGATACCAAAAGTTTTCCTCTGAGAATATTCATTATTATCAGCATCTAGAAACATACCTTGATTGAATTAAAAGTTCTCTCTTCACTTTTAGAATTTTTTCACAGGTTGTTTTCTGAAGAGTCTTTATTTTCTGAAGATAATTTCTGGGATTTTTCGAAAACATTCATCCCCAGGATGTGAGCTACTTTATCAAGTTCAGATTGTTTCTCCTTCACAGCTTTAACATTCATCTCCAGTTGAGCAACCTCTTTTGCAATGTTTTCTTTCAGTCGGCTCAGTTCCACAAGCAAAGGGTCTTCCTCTTTTCGTTTCTTTCGCAGCATCTCCACTGAATTAATTGAAGTGGTGCAGCAAGATGCAAAAGAAAATCATTTTAATACATATATAATTATTTAAGGTAATTAAAATTATAAGCTATAATTCTGTTAGATCCAAATGTCACGTGCTTAGTATGTATTAAAAGTAATGTTGTCTACAGTGATAACACACATATAAACTGCTCTTTAGGATACAGGTAGTCCTCAGTTTACAATCATTTGTTCAGCGACTGTTCAAAGTTACAATGGCTCCTCAAAGTTCTGGCCAACACATCATCCCCATGGTCATGTGACTGCAATCCAAGTGCTCAGTGCCCGGCTCGTGATTATGACATTGCAGCAAGCCGCAGTCATGTGATCACAATTTCCAACATTTCACGCTAGCTTCCCCCAAAGTCAACGGGGAAGCTGGCAGGAAGTCAGAAGTCATGATCACGTGAGGTCCTCGCTTAGTGACTTATGCAGTCCTCATTTAATGATGACAACAAGGACTGCCAGAATTACTGTTACTTAGCGACATAGTCACATGACATTGCACTTTACAACTGTGTTGCTTAGCAATGGAGTTCCTGGTTCCAACTGCCGTCGTAACCTGAGGACTACTTGTAATACTATGAGATGTTCTCAGAATGAGATAAATATAATTACACTCTTTCCAGGTGATTATACATTATTCAACACTGTTAAAGAGTACTTCAGGACAAAAAAAATTACAAAATAAGAGGATGCAATACCTTGCTGTTTTGAAAGCCTATTTAATTCAATCCTCTGATAATAGAGTTTCTTCTGTTGTAATTCTTGTTCAAGCTTCAACTTTTCTCTTTCCTCTATTACCTGAAAAAATCAAGAAGGAATAAGCACATTAAAACATACCTTTTCACTGACCAAAGCAAAAGCAATCCTACAAGGATCATTATGGCAAACTCCCAATGTGCCCCTGAATCCACGGTATTTTTATCATGATTTTATATCACATATTACAATTGATATTTAATGTAATTTATCTCTTATCAGACATGAGAGCTTCTTATATAGTGTGTTTATTTTTCCATTAAAATGAGTATGCCTTCTTTCATTATAAAATCTATCTGAAAGGATTATTATCTTTAGGAATTTCCTGAAGCTATATAATTCATAAGATGGGAGGAGGAGGCAAACAGGCCACAATCCAACAAAAAAGGAAATGCATGTAAACCAGAATCATTAGACTAAAGCACATGTAACAAACATGGAATGTATTCTTAATTTTCCGTAATGTAATAACTTCTTTAGGACACAATTCAATGGCTTCCAGGACAGTGAATTTTCCTTTGGAAGCTGGAGGTGGAAATCCAGCACTAGATGTCTAGGTCTATGTCCAGCACTAGATGTCTACAAATTTAGCACATATTGCGAATCCGACATCAACAAAGTAGCAGTTGATTTCACAAGATTGATAGATTTCAAGTCCAGAACCTTAAAATGCATCTGAAACAATTAAAAACCCTAAGGCTGTAATGAGATTTAAACAGACTATACAACGTTAAGTGCAAAATCAGTAAACCCATTAGAACTGTTTTGAATTGTGGGATAATAGCAATATTCTACATCTACCTATAAATTTTGCAAAAACCCCTGGCTTCTGTTGCCAAAGACCCCTGCAGAACATTATTTTATTTGGTATACAGTATTAGAATAATTTTTTCAATTACTTGGATGAGGAAAGCAACCCATGGAAGAAATAAATGTTAGAGAATCTTATGGCAGGTGGAGATAAGTCATCCACCCATTATGTTGCAGTATCAATGAACCTTAGAGTTCGGTGTCACTTCGCTGTCAGCTTACCACTGAGTGGTCACCAATGATGTAGAAAATTTGGTATGTTTCTATCTTCTAAGATTTTTTTATAGACATGAAGATGCATGTAGATGGGTAAATATAGATAGGAGATTGAATGATTACCTATTCAGTCTTTTTGAAATCTACTTTGAGTACATTCTGAAAAAGTTGAATGCTAATACCTCCTGAATAATAAATCAGTTAAACAGTGGATCAATAAATATGAGCAATAGTAAATCCTCTCTCTTTCTCTCTCTTCTGATGATATGGACAAGATCCTTGGCACTGTTAACCCAGCCACCTGTTTGTTAGATCCCTGTCCCTCCTGGCTGGTGGAGGCCATCCAGGAGGTGACATACTATTGAGTCCATGTGGTAGGGTTGGCCTCTCTGAAACAGGGAGTGGTTCCACCAATTTTGATGGAGGCCATGGTATGCCCTCTCTTCAAGAAGCCATCACTGGACCCAACTGCCCTGGACAACTTTTGTCCAACCTCTAGTATCCCCTTTCTGGCAAATACTGTTGGGAAGAAGTCAGGTTGCAATGGCAGAGAGCCCTGAAAGAAATGGATTATCTGGATCCTTTTCAGTTGGGTTTCAGGCTGGGATTCAGGGATTCAGTATGGAGATGGCATTGATCATGCTTGTTAATGATCTCTGGTGATGCCGCGATGGGGGCGGTTGCAACCATCCTGGCCCTACTTGATCTCTCAGCAATTGTTGATACCATTGATCATAGCATTCTTCTGGACCAACTGTAGGGAAGAGAACTGGAGAGCTCTCTCCTCAGCCAGTTCCAGGTTGGGGAGGGGGGGACTCAAATTCAAAGCCTCTGATTTGTGTGGTGCCACAAGTTTGATGCTCTTGCCCGTCCTAAATATCTACATGAGGGTACAGAAGGGAGGTCATCAATCAGTTGACCTGGGTTCAGGGTCAGATATCATGAGTACACAAATGTTACTCAACTGTGTATCTCAACCCATGAACAACTAAGCAATGCTGTCAAGTTTTTCTCCAAATGCCTGGAGGCAGATGGGAAGAAACAGGCTTAAGCTCAATCCTAGCGAGTCCAAGTGGTTTGGACCTCCTGGTTCTGGAGATTCTCAAACTTGGTCCTGAATGGGGTGGCACGGGGGGGGGGGTCTTCCTAGATTCTCAACTCCTTCTCAAGGATCTAGTGGCAGCTAGGGCTTTGCAAAAGTCCAACATATATGCCAGTTGCAATCATCCCTGGACCAGGATGCTCTCTTTACAGTCATTCGTATCTTAGTCACCTTGCAAACAAACTATGGCAACATGTTGCCCTTGAAGACCATTTGAAAGCTACAGCTGGTTCAGAATACAGCAGCACAAGCTGCCATAGGGAGGCCTCACTATACCCATGTAACACTTCTGCCTCATAAGCTGTACTAGTTACCAATAAGCTTCTGAGTGCAATTCAAAATGCTGGTTATTATCTATGAAGTCCTACAAAGCATAGGGCCTGTCTGAAGGACAATTTCTTTCTTGTAATGTCTGCCCATCCTTCTTATAATGTTTGCCTATCCTGAGCAATCAGACGGAGTCAGCTTGCTTGGGGTCCCATTGATAAAGCAATATTAGTGAAACCCAGAAAACAGGCCTTCTCTGTTGCAGCACCCACCTTACCTCCCTTCAAGAGAGCCCTAAAATTTGGCTCTTTTGCCAGACCTTTGGTTAGGGTGTTTGGCTGGCCCCTTTAGTTTTGGGGGTAGAGAATTTTTTTTTTTAACCTGTTCCCCCAGGACTGTGTTCTTTTTGTACATAATATTGTCATATTCTTGCTTTTTAATATTGTGAAGCTGATCAGAGTCATTCTGGAGTTAGGCAGCTTAGGAATTGTATATAAGCAATTAAAATAAAACTATATACGTACAGACACATTTATGTATCTATCCATCTATCTCAGAAGTATGAGGAAGACTGTTTATATATACTAAGTATACATTTCTAATGCTGAAAAGAAGGAAAAGTTAAAGCTTATTAACCAGAAAAAATAAACAATATTTTTGTTTTTAAATTGTATATTATAAATGACAAATGGAGACTTGCATTGGGCAGGTGTTTAGACAACTGACCTCTAAAGTTTGTTCCAAATCGTAGTTTCTATGATTCTATGGTAATTATGAAATCAAGAAAAAAGATACTCACCTTTTGCTTCTGAGAAGTTCGATTTCTTTCATCAGATATTCTTCCTTTGGTATCTTTCAGAGAAGGCTGGGATAACTGAGGGAGCAGATGGGAGTAAAGAGCAGTGGTAGAAACAGCTTCATTTTTCTTGATCTTCGAAGTCTTTTTGCTGATGGCAACTGTAGGAATGATTCTGAGGTTGGGTTTTGTACATTTGCGTTTTAGTTTGACTAGCCCAGGTTTATTGGAACATACAGGTTTCACTTGCTGAGCACACCAGTCAGAAGTTGCATAACCCATATAGTGCTGGTATACATCATACCCAGGTGAGGCTACTGGGAGAGGAGCACAGTTTGGGGCCAACTGAGTTGGAGCGAATGTAGAGAAATATGGAACATCATGCCAGGAATCAGAGATGGGCCCAGAAGGAATATCAAGAAAAGAAGGTGGAGCTGATGGGATTAAAAATCCTGAAACACCAGGTTGCTCTGACACGCCAGTAGGATTATTTTGCCCTAAAGCACTGATGTTATTGGGCTCAGATTTTAAAACAGGAGACACAGTTTTAGATGATGGAAAAGAACCAGCTGGCGACAGAGAATGTTTCTGCCTAGATTCTGGAGAATGAACATCACTTAGCCTGCAGTGCCTCTCCCAAGTTTCTGCTTTATGAATTGCCACTGAATGATGATCAGGAGAATAAGCTGTTTTTTTCCCATGGAGTCTTTCCTCTGTGCGGGCAGCAAGCTTACCTATTTCAGCCACTCCAATGTCAAGACCAATAGTTTTAAGCAAGTCACGGATCTTCTCATATTCTGATCTGGACTCTTCCACAGTATCTGGTTTTACAGATAGACTTGCAGGAGGTGGAGAATTTACTTTCTCACCTACAAGTTCTTTCTTTCCACTCAGCATTAGCTTTTGAGAGTAGAGACAGTTGTTTGAATCACCATCATCGTCACCATAAAGAAATTTATCTTCATCCTCTATGTTATCAGGGAAGGGATACAGTCTTTTTTCTTGATAAGTAGAATCAGTCATCGTACCTAGAATGCATGAAAAACCACTTCCATCCTGGCTGGCTCTTTCATGAGGCAGCAGGAAGTCACCATGTTGGTTGATATATTCTGATGTTGACTCATGAGGTTCCTTCTCCTTTAAAAAATTCCCAGAGTCCTGTTCAAAAGGAAAAGCATTTTTGTGGGCTAGAATATGTTCCCTAGGCATGTCTGCTGCCTTGAGTTTCCTTACTAGCAGAGCCTGCAAACAAATTCTTGTTGAACTGAAGAAATTCTCAATCACTGATAAAAAGAAGCAATTGTGTTAAATTGGTACAAATAAAAATTATCTGAAAGAAAGGGAGGTCATTGATGGATAAAGAATTGCTAGAAAGGAATCTAGGCTTAAAAAAAGATCTTATGTGATATTAGAGTTTATAATAAGGCTAATCAATTTTTCAATCCATAAAACAGACCACCCTTTCCTATAAAGAGATTACAGCTACTATCTTAGGAAACTGTAAGAGAAGAAAAATGAAACTGAGGCAGAGACAAGAGTTCTAAAATATCATTTAATCTAGCATACTGTGAGTATTTCATTAGGGTTGAGCCAGGATGCAGAGTGCAACAAAAATGTTATCAGAGGAAGACAAATAATACACTTCCCTTGCTGAGCAGGCCAGACTGATACAAGATGATCTCACTATATTGTACTGGTAAGTAATAAAATTGCCAATACAGTAACACAGTATCACCCTGGCTATCTTCTATAAGCTGCACATACCATGTCCCCACCCAGCCTTGTTCAGAGTTAGCCATTCAATGAAATGGCTTGCTTTTTTCTTCCATGATATTCTCATAAAGTCCAGTTTTAATCTGTTATACAGCATCAACATGCTCGTGCTATGATCCTTGATTATTTTGAATCATTCAGCAAGGGTGAAGGAGGAAGAAAAACAGCATGTCAAATGAGCAGCAGAGAAAGCACAACATGACTCTGAACAATAACAGATTTTGAAAGGTACCTTTCTGAGGGGAGCATCTCACGAATCCAAAAAAGTACCCAAATGCTCCTAAGCCTAGTTATAACAGATGCACGATGAAAATTCACAGAAATATATTCCTTCTTCTTTCAGAAATCAAGAGTTACTTATTTCTGTTTCGAAACTGTGTTGGAAAAGGGAGGTGACCTGATAATTGTTTCAAACAGTTTTAAAAAAACATATTAATATTTGTAATGGTCTCTTCAGTTTAAAACACTGAAAGATTCTGTACTAGATTTTCTAAAACTCATTTATGAAACTTCCAACCTACATGCTTAATCCATGCTAAAAGTCTCATCTAAACCATGAAAATCTTCAGCAAGCTCCCTTCCATTTCCCAAAATCTCACCTTTTAGAACAGACACCTTCTCGCAGCATGACAAGCCATCTCAGTCTCCTTGCAGAGCAAAGTAGGGAGCAACTGCTCCTTACTTCATCTTGCATGAGGAAAGGGATTACCCTGAGTGATGGTGCTTCAAGGTGGGACAATGGAAATCCCCATGACTGACCTAAAATTACTGTATAAAATGCAGATTCTTCATTTTATCCTCATACAGATATTAAAATGCTTGCCTAAGGACAACACATCTGACACAAAAATATTTAACAGAAAGTAAGTTGCTGGTTTAAATTTAAAACAAATAAAATGCAACCTTTCTGATCAAAATGGGATCCAAGATGTTGCCCTACTAAATCAACTCCACAACAGGGAAGACAGTGTGACATTGTTCAAGGCATTTTATTCCAGAGATCTACAAACAGAAAGTTAAATACTTATATTTAAATTAGGGGGAAAAAAACTAGTGAAACTGACAGAGTAACAAAGAGAGTGAAGAATTCAATTCAAACCTGTATAGAAGAATCATCCAAACGTTTCTTCAGTATAGATTTTGTGGGCATTGCTGGTGTTTTCTCAGATCTATAATGGTATCGAGATTCAGAAGACTGTTCTGGACTAGTTGAATCAAGCATTGGGTAGTCAGTACTAACATTTCTGCTTAGCTCATCCACTTCTCTTTTTCTCCTAATTCTTTCAAGTTTACGAAAATCTTCATCCAAGTACATCAGGCGTGGGCTTCTATTAAGACTTTGTTTACAATACTTCTGTGTTTCTGCCAATAAATCTTGACGTTTTATGCTTTCATCAAACAGTCTGTCATCTCTGTCATATTGAAAGGATTTTGATTCTCGCTCCCCATCCCTATCATTTTCTCTTGATTGATACTGCAGATGTTCATTGTTTGTGCTACGGTCTAGTTGAGATATGAAAATATCCCTACTGTAATAGTCCTCATCATGTCTCATGCTGAATGGACTTGAAGGATTCTCCTCACGAGAGAAACCTCTCTCAAGGTTCCAAGGATGTGAAAGGACTCTGCTAAATATTGGACCATCAGCCAAGTCATCCCTGATGAGAGAGGCACATGAATTACAACATCACCAACATATAAATCTCTCTGGAACTCAGGTTAGCACAGTTGTCTGACTTTAAATAGCCAATACTTTTTATGTTGAACCCAATATGGCTAGTTTTGCAGGTTTTGCATCTTCAGCAACAGCTTCACCTTCCATCCCAAACTACATTGTTCTTCCAGAAATAACACTTTTGAAATTTTGAACACTTTTGAGCATAGGAGACATGAAACAAAAACAGGTAAGAGGACACTGTTCCAGAAATGGAAATGTGCTCCAGCTCCAGATGTCAACAAAATGTCTTTAATTTATCTCATACTATATTGATTTCAAATGATGTAAAGTTGGCCTTAACCATGCATATAAAGTCTTATGTGCACATAACCTCAACAAGTCTACAGCATTTTAGTCAACTTTTAAAGTAGAGTCAATATTCCAACATTTTAATTAACAGCAGCAATAGTAGTTTACTTTTTAAACAATGTTTCCTTCTATGCTGCTTTCCCATGTTAGATCAATAGAGAATCATGTCCAACTTGCTACTAAAAATAACCATGAATATGGTTACCATGAATATTTTTCCAATAATGAAGATAAATACTTGTTCATCCTACTGAATCTTTTTAAAAAAATTATACAATCTGGGGGAAGCCCTGAGATTCTGCTGCTGCAGCTGAAGGCCTGGCTTATGTTTACCAGATGCCCTGCCCATTCCTGCTGTATGCACCTGTTTTTTTAAAAACTAGTTTCTATGGTACTTTGATACAGTCAACTTTTGAAAAACTGTATGTAGCAAAACATTCGCGTAAGAACTGTATGTTATTATTTCAAAGATCTTTCAAAATACAGTGAAGCTCTAATTTTTAAAGTGTACAATTTGCAATTACAAATGATTTTACTTATTTATTATGGTCTAATAATAAGTGCAGAATATGCACCACAGAAATTCCTCACACCATCAGTTAGGAGAATCTCAATGGCAACACAAATGCATAGTCTTGAACAGTAAAGCAATTCCATTAGGATACAGGTAGTCCTCGAGTTATGACCACTCATTCAGCAACCATTCAAAATTATGACAGCACTGAACAAGGGGGACTTATGACCAATTCACGAAGTTGCAGCCGTCGCAGCATCCCCGTGGTCACATGACTGCGATCTAGGTGCTTGGGCGCCCAGCTCATAATTAAGACGTTGCAGTGAGTCGCGGCCACATGATCACCATTTGTGACCTTCTCTGCTGGCTTCCTACAACCAAAGTCAATGGGGAAGCTGGCAGGGAAGGTCGCAAGTTGCTCACGTAAGTAGTTTCTGCTTTTTCTCCCAAGCAGCCCCACTATGGAGTATGAGAACTTCAGGGATCTCATATTCCATACCCCATGCCTGTAGTCCCTGCTGCCCCACCCACACTCCTTAGCACCCACCTCGCAGCCCTCATCAGCCTGCCTGCGGTCCTTGCCAGCCGGCCCGCACACCCAAAAGCCTGCCCACAGCCCTCATCATTCTGCCCACACTCCTTAGTAGCCACTTGCGGCCCTTGCCAGCTCACCTATGCTCCCCAGAGCCTGCCTGCAGGACCCCCCCCATGCGCCTTACATGAGACTCTCGCCTCTTCCCGCTTAACAAACCATGCGGTCCTGTGGTTACAATGGCAACCGGGGTTGCCGTTGCTAAGCAATGTGGTCACATGGCATCATGCTTTATGACCGCATTGCTTAGTGATAGCAATCCCAGTCCCAATTGCTGTTGTAAGCTGAGGACTACCTGTAATACCTGTAATATTACTCTCTCTTGCCCTAGGAAGAAGATACAGGCAAACCTCTTCAGAAATGTTGTCAAGAAAACAACATGGACCTCTCCATGTGGTTACCAGGAGTCAGGACTGATTCGAAGGACCGTAACAACAATACCAAATATATAAAATGGCATTCTAAATATTTTCACAAACTATTAAGAGCACTAATATTTAACATAGGAAAGGATCTGAATTTTGCAAATAAGCACTAATGGAAAATAAAATTTAACTGAACAATGTCGTCCTTTACACATGCCAATCACCAATTTAGCTCTGGAGTTGTCCAGGTTAACCTCCCTCTGCAGGGAGGCGGGGCCTATTTGATCAGCTGCCCCACCAAGATGGGTTAGCTCTGGGTTTTTGAGCCTCCTGGGTCTAGTGATATGTTATCTTTGACTCTCGCCAGGATAGCACTCTCCCAGTCACAGTTGGTACGTAATTTGGGGGTCCTCCTGGATTCATGGCTCCTGCTCTAGGAGGTGGTGGCAACTGTGCCTAGAGGGGGCTTTGCACAGACCCGTCCTGTGTGCCAGTTAGAGCCATTCCTGGACCAGGAGGCCTTATCACAGTCATTAAAGCCCTAGTCATTTCCTGGTTGAATTACTGCAACACAGTCTACATGTATAGACCATCTGGAAACTACAATTGGTCCAGAATGTGGCAGAGTGCCCATATTGCATTGCTGCTGTGTGAATGTAATGGGCTGTAAGGGTAACCTTGAGGAATAAGAGGAAGATCCGCAACCAAGACATTGATCAGACAAAAGAAATTTGAGGCTGAGGCTGAAATATAATTTGAGAAAGATTTCAGGCTTGACGCTCCCTAGTTCTCTTGAAGATAAAGGGAGGGAGGGGGAAAGCACATTCAGACTTGAAAGATTATGTTACCATAATCTTATAATTAAAGTAGTATTAGCATACATAACTTTGGTTCCTAGTCTGATTTACCTTGAAGGGCTGATAGCGAGCTGGACTGGTTTCCAGTTTCTTTGCCGGTGCAATTCAAGGTGCTAGTTTTTACCTTTAAAGCTCTAAATGGCATGGGACCAGGCTATTTGCAGGACTGACTCTCCCTGAGTCCCCACCAGGTCAGACAGGATGGAAGCACTCCAGGTCCTTTCTCTTAAATGTTGTCATCTAACAGGACCTAGGAAGTGCACCTTCTCCATAGTTGCGTAATGGAAGATACTGGAATGGAGGATCAAGATTATCAGGAGGGAGGGGGAACATTCCAGAGCAAGTGCTTTCTCAGTCCACAGCAAGATCACGGGAAGAGAAAGAGGATGAGGCTAGCCCCTCCCTAGAGTCTCACGGGGTATATCCACTAGCTGCTTTAGCATAGGTGTAGTCTGGCGAGATTCTGTCTATTAGGTGCAAGCTAATAAAGGAACTGTACTGGACTGAATTGCCTTGCTGTTGTTCTTGGGCTGAACCTGACAAGTTGCCCCTACCCTGTGGAACACCCTTTACCCAGAGATCCAGCAAGCCCTCCCCCCTACCTTGCCTTCCAGAATGCCCTGAAGAGCTGGTTCTTCCCACAGATATTAGGGTAGGATAAGGCTGGAGCATGGTAAGATGATAAGTGGGTATATGGGAGTGTTGTCCAGGGGTGCCATGAGTTGTTTTAGAGTTTTTATAGATTTTTATTCTGATTGTTTGGGAGGGAAGATTTGTTGCTTTTACTGCTTTGTGCACTACCCAGGGTTGTTGTTACAGTATGGACAGCTATATGTTATTTTAAATTAAAATCAAATTAATTTAGCTCTAGAAGTTCAAAACACTTAAAGATCTGCTAGAGCTTAATTGATTTTAAGATCAGCCAATCAACCTAAAATCAATTCCAGTTTGAATCCTTTTTCATCACCAAAACTGTTACTATGATCATAACTACAAAGAATCAACACTTTAAGCATCCTAGATACAACTGCAGTATTCTGAAAGTGTATTGAAACAATATCACTCATACACAAGAGTAAAGTGTTAATAAACTCTAGGAAATCGCAAAGTTCAAAAATGGTTCGGAAAACTGGAACAACTCAATGAGGATTGAGTGTGACCAGAGAATACAAAACACTGAGTGATTGGAGAAGGACATGGAAAATTGGCAGATGCTGTGAGAATGGACTGGAATATCCTGATATATGTTATGCAAGCTGACAACAGAGACAGAAAGATTCCACTCCAGTGTTCCTAATATGGTACTGCTTTTCATCTTACACAAACACACTTCTCATTTTACACCTACAAGTAATGTAATTTTTTTTAAAAAATCAGAAAAACCAGAAGTGGATTCCCTCAAGAAGCAAGAATAAGATAATTTAACTTCCTACAAAGAAAGATGTACTACTGCCAAGAATTTTTACTCACTTGCTGTGTAGATTCTTACTCACTATGGTGGGACTGTGTTACCTTATTTTGGGCATACAGAATGATCCAGAACTCAGCCACATATTCATCCAGAGTACACCTGATTAGCTTATATGCCTCATGCAAAAAAACCTGAATAAATTATATGGGTGGGAACTACTTACATACAAAGATAGGCCTCAAATCAAGCTGTATGGGAAAGCCATGAGCCAAAGTTCCTCATGGCCCACTGTTATGTACATTTGTATATGAGCCAGCATTTTGCTATTCTACCTTCTCACTGTTCATGATAAAAACCTGACTAAATTTCCCTGCAAAACTTAACCAAGCTTCACAGAATCATAATACACACTTACTTTTGCTTCAGCTGTCAAAGACCTTCTGAAGAATTAGATGACATACTAGCTGCTTCTAAATTATTTCTCACTTTTACTAGAAATGTAAGTAAATAGATGTTTATTAATATTTCGATGCTTCCTAATGAAGAAGTAAACATAACAGGAGCCAATTTTTTTTAAAAAGTCATGAAAAATACCCTCTTAAGTGATTATCATGGAACCGGAGAACAGATTCACTGCTATGAGCATATCCTAGTATAGGAGAAATCACATTACATTTATAACTAAGCTGCACATTTTGCCATCAAAATTTACCAATTTTGTTGCTAACTACAAGAAGGAAATAAAGGTAGAAAGACTTACAAGATTCTATAATGAGATAATGGATTGCAAAGAAAAATATACTTTGGAACTGAACACAGTATATAAATTACAATCTATTTACCTATTTTAAATCTAGTTTGTACCATGTAAACTTAAATGCTGCTCTTAAGATTAAATTGTATTTGCAGTCTAGACTTTGCTTCTTAAACATGCACTAAGATGTACTACAGATTTATGCAGAAATGAACAGAAACTGGCATATCAAAAGTGGAGCTAAAACTACCTGAAACAAAGTAAGCCACAGTACATAAGTCAAGCTGTTAAATTAGGGAATTTTGCCACATTAAGTTCTGATTTAACATTCAGAATTACTGCTGCAACTGTTAAGATATTTGAGCATACATATAACTGACAGTCACTTCTTAGCACACCCAAAATCTTTATCCTAGGTAACCATCACTGCATATTATTCTAGCATGAATATTGCTCTAACTTTACTGTAGTCACCTATATAAGAACATTTAAGGATCCTTATCTTAACCCTCCTCCATTTGAATTTTCAGACATTGCTTGGTTACCTTTCATATGTCGTTACTGTTATTCTACTTGCAATTCTTACTAACAAAATAATGATCTAATCTAATAGCACTATAAGTTTTTAGGTCAAAAGCCATTCTATGTATTTTACCAATTTGAAAACAACTGTCTCTTCAATTATTTTTTTTTCCAGACTTTCTCTTTTAATGATAAAATTTCTTTGTTTTTACAGTGTTTTTATTGTATTCTGTAAATTACCCAGAGTTGCAACAGACTGAGGGGGCCTATAAATCTCGTAAACAAACAAACAAATCTGAATGTGTCCTAAGACCAGGGATGCCTAATGCAGTCCATCTAATATATTTTCAAAACTGTACCAATAGAGGCGAATATGTGTAGCTCAGGGTTGAACTGTGAAGTCCTTGGGGTTCTCTCAAAACTGTCTCATAGCAAACTTGTGATATTTGATAGTATGGGATAAGAACAAAAAACTGTAATTTTGTGAGGCTAGTTTTCAAAGAACCATACCTGTCCACATCGCTCAGACTATCAGCTGGTGAGCTTAGTCTATCAGATAGTATCTTTCTGTCAGGTGTGCCAATTCCATACTGGTCATTTTCAGCTAAGATCCGCAAGTATTTTTTCACTGAAGATTCAGAACGTCGGCCGGGAGAACGTGAGTGCCGCCTTAGAGAATATGAGGGCTGGTCCAGTGAATATCTCTGCAATTGGGGGGATGGGGCAAAGCAGTTATAATATGCTATCTGTTTGATTAAAAAAAACAGGCAAACATCTTTCGCTGTTGCAAAATACCATAAAATTGGATCCACTTTCTGGACTACAGCATACAACTCCAAGACAAAGTCCAAAAAGGTTACACAGCTCTAACCTAAGACTCTAAATTTTTCTACAAAACTTATACTCACAAATTGGTAATCTGTTGACATATGATACAGTAATTGTATCTTTTACCATGTGATAGAGCAAATATATCTTTGTCCTTTCCACATACCAAGAACCTTATTGATAAAGTAATGAGATTGAGTAGCTGTTCTATTCTCAAAATAACTTTGAGTTTCTGAGATGGAAAAAATGACACAGAAAATGTACAATTCTTCATAGAGACACATGAAGAAAAATTGTTCTACTAAAGAAACAGCCAACTAGTTTAAAGTAACGTAGGTCAATCACTGAAAGAGTATAGCCCTAGTTCTGATGCTTTAGAAAATATTCTACAAAATAAATCCAGCTAAGTGCAATCACAGTACCAAATACATAAACAAAACCATGATTATTTCTTCAGAGGACTGCATGATCATTGATTTGGTTTTAGCAACGTGGTGTGCTCAGCATGATTTTTTTAAAATTTTCAGATCTTTTGATTTCAGTATGAATATCCCTCAAGTAACTATATTATGTTTAATGTTTCAATCTTATTACACACCCTACCTGTCTAATTCATTCAATTATTCAACCATCTGTTGCAAAAGAAGCAACCTCATTTCACAAGTTCTACAAACAAAATAACTCTACTGACTATCCCCAATGACTGTATAACTGAAAACCCATAAAAACAAACTGGCCCCTTTATGTAAAAAGGGAGTTTTCCATAGATTAATGCTTACTCAGAAGCAGTTCCTACTGAATTCAACGGGACTTACTTTGAGGTAGCAAAGCATGCCTAGGGTAGAAGTCATATTAATAGTTTATTTTGCAACTTAACCTTTTCCTTTCCAATTGTCGTCAAGTCAGGACCTTCCACTTTGGATAAACAGATTCTCTCTGATGCCGTCAGGCGGAGAAAACTCTGCAAATGCAATACATAGCTTGGGGGATGTCAGAGACTGTTCGGCCCCTCCACAAAATGGGTGATAACGCATTCGGGACAGGGAAGAGGAAGGCGGACAGTTTTCCGAGAGGGGTAGAACATCAGAGGGGGAGGGAAGAAGGCTTCCCCCCTTCGCAAACAGTGGAAGCACAGACAAATGGGACCGGGGACGGAAGGTGGATGAAAGGAAGAATAGGAAAGCTCCAACCGAGCTAGAGCGTACCCTACTACAGCGGCGCGGGGAAGGCGAGCGACGAGAACGATGAGAAGAGCGACGGCTGGGCGGGGAGCGGTGGTGGCGGCTCCACGGAGAGGGCGAGCGGGAGCGTCGCTGGGCACCGCCGGGCCGGGAACTCTCTTTGGGGCGCTGAACTTTCATGGCCGAGGGGCCGCTACCGGGACTGTACATGGCGGTGGCCGCAACGGCCTCAAGCGCCCGCGAAGCCGCCCGCTCACCCGTCCTCCCTCCCGTTAAAGTTCCTTCTCCGGGCCATCCCCTCACCAAGACGCATGCGCACCGGGCACGAACACCAGATATGCTGAAGGGATACGGAGGCTTCGTCCAGACCCCTTACAAAATGGCGGTGAGGGAATTGGAGTCACGTGGCAAGAGGGGGCGTGGTTGAAAGACCCAGGTAGGAACGACGCGCCGGAGGATGTTACATACGGGTGCTACTTATTCAATGAAGAGAGTCAAAAGTTATCCTATAATTATCAATCCAGCAGTGTCACACTGCTTTTATACGGATATATTATGCGTCGATGCTAAGAATCCCAATCAAAACCTAAAAGAAGACGACGTCTCTTGGCATATTGTGTAAATGGCTCTGCCCTGCATCGTACCGCTACAAAAAGGGGGATTCCAAATGATCGCTTACTGTAGTTAGAGCAAGAAGAGGGGAAACAATCAAAACACGTGTACCTGTTCATTTTAGTGAAAGGATTATTAAGGGGGGTTATGACAGCAATATATAAGGTCTGGCTTGAGCGAAGTAGGAGAGAAGAAAGGTCTATACTCTCCCTGTCCTAATTTGTGTCATCTAATGAAGCTGTATGTAACTTCAAGGAAAATCACAATAAGTGTTTTCTTTATCCAATGCACACTTAAATGCCTCTGAGATTTCCCCTTCATGGGCCAGCCTATGCTAATATGCTTGCATTTAATCTTCAGCACAACTATTTTTTCTGCCAGTTCAGAGGATGTTGCTTTTATCTTGCCCCTAGTTCATGAGAGAAAGCTGTATCAGCGTTAGAGCAGTATTTGCCTCCTTTTTCTGACACCCTTCAAGGACAGCCTCAGAGACTATAAAATCTATGTTGTTACCATTACTTGCAGGTTAAATCAGGTAATCACAGTGACTTGAAACAGAAGCAATAGTGGCAGGTTAAGGATCGATAGGACAGCAAATGTTATACTGATACACTTTCCGGACAGCTCTAGAATGGATGAATAATACCCAGCTCCACAGTGGGAAAAGCCCCTGAGTTCATTGCCTAGCATTCTTCTCTCTACGCACCAGAATGAAACATCTATATCAGCCTAAACATCCAGCTTATGACTTCAGAACAAGTAATAACACATTTTCCAGCAGAGACTCTGAGGTGAGGCAGGAGGAGATAAGTGCCATGTCTATGTTTGAAAGTCTGGGACATGAAAAGAGGCATTCTCCTTAGGTTGAGGTGTGTCATCATTTTGGAGGAAGCAAACAGCTGTCAAGACCAGTAAGTAGGACAAATGCCTGTCGTTTCTTGCTCCCAGCCTCTCTTCTTTTTGCTCACCTTCCCAGTGAGTCGTTGCAAATGCTGGATTCCAGTTTTGTCTGCCTTTTGGGCATTTCATAATTTAGAGAAAATATACACAATGCAAAGTTATCTTTAAACTTGCCCTCCCCTATCCCTACTTCACCTTCTTGCTTTTATATCTATCTCCAAGAACTTCTAGGAGTTCCTTCCTTGAACAGCTTTACTTTACAAAATTTGATTCCCTAAGAAAGGAATTTCCTCTTTCCTAAGGAAAAATCCAGTTGCCTTGCTCTGATACAAAGTCTCTACAATGAAATTCATTGGAGCAGCATTAATGAAAGCTATCACCTTAAAGTGTTTGATACTAAAAATACCATGTCAGCACAATACAGTATACCAAACTGACATAAATAACGTATTTTAAATGACAAGACTGATAATACAGAAGCAATAAACATATAGCTACTTTCTCTTCTGTGTTTTGTTTAAGCTGCTTCTTGCACATGCAATGGCTTCTCATCTCTCTTTGTTTGTGTATGTTTGTGTCAAAACCCCACCAACAAGGCTTACTTCAGTCTCTGTAGCAGGGCACAGCTTATTTGGTGTCTGTGAGCAAAGTGTGGCTATGAGTATTGAATGCTCATTGCAACCTCCTCCATGATACTTATAAAGGTAATCTTTCAAGTACAGAAGCAGTGCAACCCTCCAAATGATAGAAATATCTCCATTCATGTTCAAGACTGTCATACCATGTTATGATGACCAAGTCTATGGTCCAGCCAGAGATACAGAGGAAACGGAAATTGAACACCTTGTAAACAAAAAACCAGAAAAAAAGCATTGTATTAATTAAAGAGCACTGGGATGCTGGCAGTAAAATAGCATCTGGAATAACCAGAAAATTTGGCAATGCTATAGAAGATGAAGCAGAAGATAGATTAAAAGAGTTCTGCCAAGAAAATGCAAAGTTTGTAGCAAATACTTCTTCAACAATCTAAAAGATGACACCACTGGAGGAACAACACTAAAATCAAATATATTACATACCCTGGAGGCAAAAATGGAAAACAGTACCTTCTGCTGACTATGGTTAGACCATTAACTCCTTGTTCCAAAATTTCAACTTAAAAACAAAATCAACAGACCAACAAGATATATCTCAGCATAATTCTATAAGATTATGTGGCATAGATAGAGACTAATGAATTAGATTTGATAACATCTGAACAATTTGGGACTGAAATTCATGACAAGATGAAGCAAACAAAAATACTTCAAAATGTAAAAGCTGTCTCCTGATACCCTGAAAATAGCTGAAAAAAGACAGAGAGCAAAAGGCAAGAGTGACAGAAGAGACAAGGAGTTATACCTAAATACGCAATACAAAGAAACTGAGGATAACAGCTGAATGGGTAGGACAAGAGATTCTTTAAAGAAAATTACATAAATCAAGGGAATCTTTTACGCAAAGATACATAAAAGGCAGAGGAGACAAAGATCTACTGCCAAAGGAGAGATATACTGTATATGGAAGTACTATCCGCAAAAGGTTCCAACACTGAAATACATACAAATGTTTGATCGCTGAAGTAGACCAGAGATTCTGGAAATTCAATTTAAATGGGGTATAGAAAATATTACTAACAACAGACCTGCAGGAATTGATAAATTATTATTTGATTTATATCCAAGCTTTATTTTGTATAAGTCAAAGTAGTGTACATACTGCTGCCTCCTCCTATTTCCCCCACCACAAATACTAGCAATACCATTTAAAATGGAGACCATGGAGTTAAATCGCTACTTGTAGTTGTAAGCAGATAAGAAAAACACTGCAGTGACCAAGGGACTAGAAAAGATCAATTAATATTCTAATACCTTAAAAAGGGACATTGCTAAAAAATGTTCAAGCTAACAAAACAACTGCACTTATTTCATGTGCTAATAAGAAAATGCTCAAGGTTTTACAATTCAGTGTCAGTAATACTTTGAATTAAAATTCCTAGATGTACAAGCTGGATTCAAAAAAGGCAGGGGCACCCAAAATCATGTTACTGACATCTGATGTATCATGGAAAAGGCAAGGAAGTTCCAAAAATACATCAGTTTTTGCTTTACTGATTATTCAGAGAGTTGACTTTTTAGAATACAACAGAGGATATTTTTCAAAAATATGGGTGTACCAAGCCACTTATCTGCCTACTGTAAAATGTGTATGATGTCAAGGAACCAGTAGTTAAAAGAGAATATGGACCAACAAAGTGATTCAAAATAGGGGAAGGAGTATGCCAAGATTGTGTATTGTCACCTTATTTGTTTATCTTATATGCAGAATATATAAAGAGAAAAATAATGACCTAGAAGAAATAGATACTGGAATTACAATTAAAGAGAGATACGTTCTCAGATGTGCTAATGATACCACTTTAATGACTAGAAACAAGAAAGACTTAGGGAATCTCTTGCTGAAGATGAAAGGGGAGTGTGCAAAAGCCAGTCTGCTCTTCAATATTTTAAAAAACACTTAAGGTTCTATCAAGAGGCAATGCCAATCTAATGCAAATAGGCAGAGAAGATGTTGAAGCGGTAAAAGACTTCATCTTCCTAGGCTCAAAAATTCACAGGGGTGGTGGCTACAGCCATGAATAAATAGAATAAAGAGACATCTGCTTCTTAGGAGGAAGTCTATGACAAATCTAGACAAAATATTAAAGGGAAGAGACATCACACTGACAAAAAAGGCATGTACTGTCAAGGCCGTGGTATTCCCTGTTGGAACATGGCTATGAAAGCTGGACCATCCAAATGGCTAAACAGAGAAAAATGGGTGGTTTTGAATTGTAATGCTGGAAGAAATTGTTGGATTGCAAGAAGAACAAATAATACCTGGATAAAGTAAAACCAGAAAGCTCATAGCTAATAATGAAGTTAAAGCTTAGATATTCTGGATACATAATGCAAAGGCAAGACTGATTAAAGAAACAAAAAACAAAACTGAAGGCAATTAAAAATAGGCCAACAGATGACAAGGCTAGGCACTATCACTACTGACATGAGCTTAGAAGCATTCAGTTATTGACAGTCCTGGCAAAATTTTATCCACTGGGTCATGAAGAGTCACAAGTAACTGAATAACTGAACAACAATAGAGGCAATCATTTGTACAGTTTAGATATATTATAGAATCCAAGCTTTGTTAGTACAGTTTTAGCTTGTTGGATTATAGTTGCAGTTCTCACAATCTTGTTTTCAGTTTTGTTTCTTCTTTTCCAGCTTTCTTCTTTTTTCTGCCCAAGATGGTAACTTCTTCCTACATAGGCTGTGATACAGACAACTGCTGGATCAGTATGTCTTCTTGTTACTTCAGAAATCTACCAGGTTTTCCCAGTTACTTTGTTAATTGGCTGAAAAGGCTATTTCAAGGGGGTGGGCGAGAAAGTAGATTCATAAGATACACTGAGCATTTGCCATATGGCTTTTGGATCTCAGCTTTTGACTCTGTTATAAAATAATAATAATGTAGGGGTTGGAAGGGATCTTGAAGATAATCTAATCTAGCCCCTTGCCCTATGCAGGAATCCTTTAGTACAGCATCCAACAGATAGCCATCCAGCCTTTGTTCAAACATCCCCAGTGAAAGACACTTCTTGAGGCAGCATGTTCCATTATTAAATAGTTCTTAACGTTCAGAATTTTTCCTGATAGCTAACTAAAGCCTACTTCCTTGTAATTTAAGCCCATTGTTTTTCTCCTGTCTTCTAGAACAACTCTGAATAATTCTGTGCAACTATATCATGTCTGTGCTTCTGATGGTGCAACTGCTAAAACTTTTGATGTTCAAAAAGCTTTATTGAT